AGATTTCCATTGAGATTTGATGCTTTTGGAGGCTTTTGGATGGAGATTTCTATTGAAAATTTGGAGATTTGCTTTCCAAAAGTCAGTGCGCACTTTCTTTATAAAATCCCTTATTTAAAAGTATTGAAAAACAAAAAAAATCATTCAAGCAAAGGGGGTAGTCCAGCAAGCAGCTTTCTGACATTATTTAGGGGGGGGCCCCTAGAATAATGTCTAGAGATTTGAGGCTTTAAATCTTTATTCCTTTTCTTTGCCTTTTGATTTGCTTTACTCACCCTCTATTCCTTATTTACTTTTCCTAAGCTCTTTAGTTGTGACGCTTTCCAAAAGTTTCCAAAAGTCAGTGCGCACTTTCTTTATAAAATCCCTTATTTAAAAGTATTGAAAAACAAAAAAAATCATTCAAGCAAAGGGGGTAGTCCAGCAAGCAGCTTTCTGACATTATTTAGGGGGGGCCCCTAGAATAATGTCTAGAGATTTGAGGCTTTAAATCTTTATTCCTTTTCTTTGCCTAGTTGTGAAGCTTTCCAAAAGTTTCCAAAAGTCAGTGCGCACTTTCTTTATAAAATCCCTTATTTCCATTGAGATTGGATGCCTTTTGATGGAGATTTCCATTAAACATTTGAAGATTTCCATTGAGATTTGATGCTTTTGGAGGCTTTTGGGGGGAGATGTCTATTGAAAATTTGAAGATTTCCATTGAGATTTGATGCTTTTAGAGGCTTTTGGATGGAGATTTCTATTAAACATTTGGAGATTTCCATTGAGATTTGATGCTTTTGGAGGCTTTTGGATGGAGATTTCTATTAAAAAACTTGAGATTTCCATTGAGATTTGATGCTTTTGGAGGCTTTTGGATTGAGATTTCCATTAAACATTTGAAGATTTCCATTGAGATTTGATGCTTTTGGAGGCTTTTGGATGGAGATTTGCTTGAGATTCGATAAATATTCCAGATGTCTTCAAAGTTAGGAATTCTTATTTCCTTTTAATTTAATATTGCCAGAGGTCTTCAAAGTTAGGAATTATTATTTCCTTTTAATTTAATATTGCCAGAGGTCTTCAAAGTTAGGAATTCTTATTTCCTTTTAGTTTAATATTGCCAGAGTAGCTCCAGAGGTAGCTAGCTAAGGATTCCTTATTTAATTATCAACTGATTGATTTTCTTATACATTATTTTGGAGGCCTTGGCTGTTGAGGGGGGGGGGGGGGGGGGGGGGGGGTT